AATTGCTCATTTCCCAATGTGATATATGCCATCTTTCGTCAGCAGTGCTCCACTACATTCATATTGGACAAACAGGCCAAACTCTACATGAAGGGAGTAGATGAATACAAAACAGACATTGGAAACAGAAATACCCAGAAATGAGTGGATGAATATTTTGCCCTTCCTGGACTCTCTCTCTCTCTCTCTCTCTCTCATTCCCTCCCTCCCTCCCCCTTTGGCCTCAGAGTTGCAGTACTTGAATAATGAAACTTGAAGGACAGATTCCAAAAGGAAGCTATCAGGCAAGTATACATCAGGAAGTTCAGCACACTCCCTCCAGATCTAAGCAAAGACAATGGCCTCCTATATCTTTAATACGAATCAAAGCACTTGTGCCTTTTGTCAAACCCTACTACTGTGATGGAATTAATTAGCAGCTATTGCCTGTTAAAGATCTTCACCTGGGACCAGCACACCCTGTTGTTGTCCTCACCTGACACATGCACTCCTTGCCAACAGTTTTAAACTCCCTTCAGAGATACAGCCACCCCATTCATTCGAAGAAATGTTATATTACGACTTATACACTGCCCTTCTGTAACAAAGGGGACCCAAGGCAATTCAAAACAAAATTAAATTAAAAGTACAGACAAATATATAAAAAGTGACCCTATTAAAATTAAAGAATATATACTGTACTATTAAAGCACAAGTATTAAAGTTTCCTAAGACAATGTAATCTAGTCACCTAGATTTCAAGGTCCTCGTAGTGATGAAGACGAGGTTCAAATCCCTTCTTAGCTTGAAATTCAGCAGGTGACCTTGGAGAGTCTCATTTTCTTTGACTGACCTACATCACAATGTTGCTATGAAGATAAATTGAGGAGGAGGAGAGTCATGTGTGCCACCTTGAGCTCACTGGAGAATAGGTGTGGGTATAACTGTATCAAATCAAATCAATCAAATCGAAAACAATTTAAGAACACATTGCTAAAAACAAGCACAGCAGCCACCAATTAAAATCCCCTGTATTCTTATTATCAGCATCTGCTGGAGGCTTGCTGTTTAGATTATGACTAATAATTGCCTGCACAAACCCAACAGTCCCTGTTACCAGTACAGCACCATTGATCAGCAGACCACTGAAGGATGACTTCTTCATTAGCTGCCCTTACTGCACCATCTTTCCCACTCCATCTTGATTTCAGTCCTCCTGCTTACTTTAGACCCAATGGCCAGCTCCACTTTTCAAGCCTGAGATCAGGTTTCTGTCCATAGATCATGTCTCCAGATCCATTTGTTCATCCTTTCTCTCTTTCTTGACAATTTTGCTACTCTTACTACCTCTTTCTCTCTCTCCTCTCTCCATCCTAGCCCTGATGCTGTTGGTGTCATGGGGCAAGATTATATCCATTATATCTACACGGAACCTGTAAGTGACACAATGTCAAATGGTGGGCACAAAGAAGAGGTCCTGGCCATAACCTTCAGGCACAGAAAGATCTGCCTGGGACTTGGCTGGACTTTGGAAGCAAAATGATGAACTGAAGTGACTTTTCTCTGACACAGCAAAACAACTCTTATTATCTTGCTGTATATCCTCCTTTAGGACCCTTACCTCTTACAACCTACATCTAGGGCTTTACTTTCCGACATCCCATTCCTTCTCTGAAATGAAGCCTGTATGTGTTCATGAGTAGAAGATGTGGTTTTTCTGTTTCATAGTTGCAGCACCTTAGAAAACTGTATGGACAGACTCTGCCCTGCTGCAATCCTACTGTTCTTTCCAGAGTTAAGCAGAAATGTTGTTATTCTCTTTGGGCTTTCTGTATTTTCTGATAGAGTGACTACTGAACAGCATCAAATTCAAGATAAGCTGTTCAGCTACTGAAGAATACCGGGAAGGGATGAAAGCACAGCCCATTTGTGATCTGAACAGGGGCCATTTCATCCTACCACTGTAGGAATCATGCTCTGCCTGGACTTTCAACTACTCTGAGGAGGAAGGACTTTTAATAAAACAGAAAATAAGCATTAAAAAAAAACCTTGAGAACTGATAGATCCCCTTCCATGCATGCACATACACACGGTGAAAAATGTACTGTTTGGAAAAATATAAAAAGGTATTGTGTAGGTTCAAGGACTAGATAATGAATGAATATAAGATCTTGTTTGATTCTGAAAGTGCAGTATAATAAGCAATTACACAATATTTGTTCATATTATTAGTAGTAGTAATATTAGTGTTACTATTGTTTTACTTTAAAGCAATAGTCACAGGGACATAACCTGCAAGGCTTTAGGGTGCCTCAAATATCTTCACTGTTTTTGCTGCTGTAGCCTCTCAAATATATCAGTTCTCAAGGCTTCTTCAGTCTTCATGACTAGCCTTTGAGGAAAAAAGTCATGTATGCAGATGCAAAAAGTGGCCTACGGTCATCAAAGCTCATGCTAAATAAAGTTTACTAGCCTTGCAGGCACCACAAAATTCTAAGTTGTTTTTGCTGCAGCAAATTAACACAACTCTCTCTTTGGTGATGCAGACTTCACAGTGGGACTGATATTTTATACAAGGATGAACAGATGTTCTTAAACACCCATGCATGTATGTTGGGAATGGATGTGTGTGCGTGCATGTCCTGGGCACACATATATAACAGATGTTCTTAAACACCCATGCATGTAGGGAATGGATGTGTGTGCATTCATGTCCTGGGCACACATATACAGGTATCAGTGCTTATCTACTACATGTTTCACCTTTTGCTATAAGATATACTTGTGAAGAAACCCAATTGTCATGCAAAGTACAGAGTTGGGGGGGAGGAGCCAGGGTCAGTTAACTCTTTTATTGCTGGTTCGTGCTTTCAAGAGCCTTAGACCAAAGGTGTTATGTGGCAGGGTGCTGGTGGTGGATAGCAACATATTTTATAGAACCTGTAAAGCCTTCCGCAATCGATTGCCTTTCAAATATATAGGACTACAGCTCCTATAATCAGCAGCCAGTGTGGCCACCCATCATCCTAGCCAGCATGCAGATGATTGGGGTTATGGGAGTTGTAATACAGCAATCTAGGAGGCACAAGGATTGAGAAAGCTGTACAACTATCTGTCTCCCTCTAGTCATTCATTTAATTACATAAACATTTCTATCCTATAATTGAGGCAGATTGCCAAACAATGAAAATATTGTAGATTAAACTGATGTTCAGCACTTTTAACTCATGGTGACTAGAACAGAAGAATTGAGGAGACTCAAAAGTGCAGAACACAAGCTAGATGGTGCCTCTGATAAACATCAAAAATGCCCAAGTGTAGTAGCCACTGATGGTTAAAATGTGGTTACCACTGAAACCACATTTAGGCTGGCGTTTTAAATATGTTTAGGCAGAAAATCTCATTGAAAAATGCATAGCAATGCATCGGACTGCATTAAAATAAGCTTTGACTGTGATATAAGCAATGGACAGAAAAGATCCTCTTTAGCCTTCAAAGTTCCACTGGTTTAATTAATTTTTGTTGATTGGACATTTCCTATCGCTTTTGACAGTGACCTGACTCCCACCTATGAAAACACGTTGCTGACTGGTTAGGTTTCCTCTGCTCTCCCAATGTAGTCCTTAATATAGTCTTTGATGCAACATAGAGAAATTTCGTGCCAAAGAGTAACTGGACAGAAGAAAGGCGATAGATATAGATAAAGACACACGCATTCAGACCGAGGTTAGATCCATGTAAATGAGTAACAGTGCGAACTCAGTCCTCTTTGAACACCAGAACAAGTACTATAGGGGGATATGTATACCCGCTCTTGTTACGAAGAAAATCAGAACAAGGGAAGACCCATCCAGGGTTGGTTAAATGCACAGTTACCGACTCAAACGTGCAGGACTTCCCAGGAGAAAGGCGCCTTGGCTTCCAAGGCTGGCTTTCAGAGACGGACATCAGGCGGAAGAACAGAACCGGGTGCACAGAGCGTTCATTCAGAAAGGTTACACCTGGCGAAGGGAACGAAATTCCACAAGCTAACGAGACCCCGTTTCCGCAATTGTGGCGTTCTTCCCAAGTCAGTACAGACTGGCTGAGCGGGTAATGGGAATAGACAAGGTAAAGGCAAACAGAAGCAGCGGCGGCGGCGGGGGGAGTTAGTGGGAGAAACCTCGTATCCTAGGCGATTATTACAATAAATTTTAAATTATGGGTTAGAGAGATCAGTCAAATAGCGGGGGCTTAAAACAGAGGAATCCAAATCTCAAACTCTTCTCCCTCTCAAACGCTTTAACCATTAAAGATAACAAAAGTTTGGTTCTCTCATATAAAAGCTCTTTTTTTGATCGCTGCCTCGTTCCTCGTTAATCCGATAACCTGCTTTCGCTTTGGCGAGAGTGGCCAAAAGAAGCCAGTGCACCTTGAGCGCTATTCTTATTCAGGTGCTCTGAAACCGCCCGGTTAGGTCTCCTTACCTGTCTGACTCGCTTTGGTGGATTACCGTTCCTGCTGTTTCCTCAACTCTGTTTCACAGAAAATAGAAGGGGAGGGGGAGAGGAGGGGAGGGGGAGTGAAAGGTTGGTCACAGATCGCTCCCCTGATCGAGCCACGGAGCGATTGTGTTACATTTGTTGGAAACGTGTCACATCAAAGAACGGATCTGTAAGAGGGACTTTCCAAGCCGGTGGTTGCAAAAGGAGAAAAATGAGGGAAGGGGGGGGGGAGAGGAGAGAATCCCTCGGCACTTTAAAGGTTAACTCCCGCTGCCGAATCACAGGCCTTTGATCCGAGCACAACAGAGTGTAGCTTTTCGAGCCGAGCAACCAATGAGAGGAGCGAGGGGGCGGAGCTAGAATGTTACAGAGGCCGGCTAACTGTTGGGGCTTTTCTTTTCTTTTCTTTTTTTCGTCCTAAAAAACATTTCCTCCACCCCCTCTCTTTTTTTCCCCGGGTTCCCCCCTCCGCCCCTCTGAGTTTAGTAAATTAATGCAGCAAAAAAAAAGTCTTAAGATCGGGCGAGATCCGCCGAGGCGACACGATGGGACGAGGTGGAAAATGGACCGGCTGGAGAGACGCTTACTGAGGAGAGACTTGGCTTTCTTCCTCGCTCTCTGATCACCCTGGGAATGCCCGTCTTATGAAACTTGCCCATCGCCTCCTTCCCCACTGGTGTGCGATGGGACACCTTCCCTGCCGCAAGACTAACTTCTCGGTGGGGAAAAAAAAGATCCCAGGAAAGCACGAATCCGCCCTTGCTGCCCAGCGTCGATCCCCGGGGAAGCCCCATCGCCGGAACAATGCAGCAGAGGCGTAAGGAGGAACGGGATCGCAAATGCCTTGGGATATAATCGCCGAGGAAGGCACCCCAGACGTCTGAGGAGACTAGCCGTTGGGTTACTTCCTCCTCTTCCTCCTCCTCCTGCTCCGTCACCACTGCCACCATCATCCCCGTTTCTCCCCACATGGCCAATATATCCCCGTGGCATTCTGCATGGTCCAGAAACCCCGTGCCAGCTCTGGATGCCCACTGAAAACGATTTTTGCCTTCTCGAGAGGAAATCCGGCCACCCCCCCGTAAGGCTCTTCTTATACCGACACCACACAAGAGCAGCGCCGGAGTTTAAATGCCCCTTTTTTCGCTCTCCAAGGTGCTGGAACACAGAGGGGGGGAGGCGGTGTGCTGTCCAGGGTCCTGAAATTGCCGGCGTCTCGCGCGTCCAAGCTCAGCCGCCGCCGCCGCCTCTCTGCTCACGCCACCTCTAAACTACTCACAAAGGATTGTATGCACAAATTAGCAAACGAAGTGGGGTTGAGCCAGAAGTCTCCACCATTTTATTTATTCGGGTATTTATTTATTTATTTATTTTGCTGCTAAGTGCCAATCTCTTGCTCTCACTCGTGGACTACAAATCCCCTCCGTCCTGAAAAATGTGTAACCTCAATGCACTTGGAGTCTACTTTTGGGAGACCGTAGTATTCTTCAGGTAGGCTGATTTCTAAACCACGGAGCGAGGGGGTCTCATGGGTGGCTGGCGATGGCAAAAGATAGCTCTGGGGTTGCGTCTTCGGCTTGAATCCTGCTTGCGGAATATACTTTCAAGTCAAGGAGGAAGGATTTCTCCCTATATATTTTTTTTCCAGTTTCCGTTGTGGTTTGTTTTTATTTCCTTATGTTCTGCTCGGGAATGCCGAATCCTGAGTAGAAAGACTTCTGACAGCTTTATGAGTTAACTCGGTGTAATTAGCACTGCATTCTCGGTAACCGCAGTGCCGAAAACACCAGGTGCTCAACCTGGTAGGAATGCGACCACTAGTGGTGGCTGTGAGGGTTGCACTTGTGCTCCACGAAAGAAACGTTTTATTCTCCGACTCTTTTTTTCCAAATTGCAAGTTAAGGTGAACAAAGTGGATTATACTCCCATCATCTATATATAATGAAACTTTTAGAAAGAATTGTTTTGTGCCAGATGGATTATTCCTCTTGGGCTCAAGTCAACAGGCTTAGTTGTGCTGTTTTCCTGCTGTCGAATTATTTGCAGTTGTTGCACTGAAACTTTCCGCACAAGTTGCTCCCTCTCCTCTGTGTGTGTGTGTGTATTTGTGCTTAGTTTTAATTCTTCCACTTTGATACTTTCAGTGCAATTCAATCTATATCAGTTCATAAGAAAGCCCAGTTGTCATCAATAGGAATTATTCCCCAGTAGATGTGTATGGGATTACAGGATCTGTGTACTTCTCTGTGGCATATCCAATAATGCTACCTATGCATTTCAGATGTTTTTATTTCTGTTATTATTGTTGAATACATGCAAGGGGGAGGATAGCTGTTGATTATCATCCTTGCTGTGGGGGAATTAATAATGTAATCTCAGGAAGTAGTGAGAGAAACCAGAGACATGCATTTGGGATCCTTTATTTGTTTCATATCTTGCAGGGTTCATCAATCTTTCACTTCATTTCAGTTACTTGGCCAGAACACTGCATCCTCCATGTGTTTTAGAAGTGCTAAATTATGTGTTTTTCGTAAATGATGCTGAATCATTCCATTGGTGATACAAGATAGATAGATAGATAGATAGATAGATAGATAGATAGATAGATAGATAGATAGATAGATAGATAGATAGATAGATAGATAGATGTACACTGTTAAAATTGGTGGTTTCCTTCTTTCCTTTCTCGTGCAAATACATGCTAATATAATTGCTTAGATTTGGGGAAATGATTGGTTTTGCTCTAAGAAAATCAAGCTTACTGCTGGCAGCTTTTCCAGTCTTTCAAGTATTGGAAAGGCAAAAATATTGAGGATGCTCAGTAATAAACATTTTTGCCTTAGCAGAGGTCACATTATAAAGGAAATCTACATTGTCAGAGCATACAGATGTGATGCTTGATGAGAGACCATGCAGTCTTGTGTACAGTGCAGGTGTTAAATAAATAGATCAGTGCTTTAAAGGAAGCTGAACCTGTTTACAAGATTGGAACACTACTTCAGGTCAAATATGCCCTGTGCTTTTGTCTGTTTCCTCTGAACCTTAAATGCAGGTCTCCTTCTAGAGCGGAGCAAAACTAATCTCTGTGCAGGATAGTGAACAGGTATCACTGGCTGCAAATAATGCCTGCAACCCAGAGAATTTCATGCAGCCTATTGTTCATAATAATTATTTTAGAATGTTAACAGTGTTTCTGGAGAACGAGCTAGAGTGCATTTCAGCTTAATTACTAAGTGTCTGAACATTGACAAAAATCATTCCCCAGTTAGTGGGCTGATTTTAAAAAAAAGCAAGAATGGGGGTTAACTTTGTCTCCTCTGCCCCCATCCTGTTCCAGATGAAAACGTGGTAAACTTCTAAGTTCACCATATTGTAAACATATGGAACATACACATGCAGAAGGCTTGTTAAAAATTCTAATCAGTCTTGCTACTTCCCATAGAAGTTTTAGGCACTGGCCAGTACCCTTCCATTTACCTTACAAATATGATGCACAAAAGAAACTTTTGCCGTGTCTCTTTATTGCATGGAAGAACATTGGGCTTTACACAAGAGGTATTGAAAAATATCCCCGATTATGACATTTCTTGCTACAAGCAATATAAAGCAACGTTAAATTGTTACCAATAAAAAATTCTAGAAGCAACTGTTCCTTCAGGAAAGAGTTTTCACCTGTCTTTGGTGTACATGGGTTTCAGTTGCCACTCAAAGCTGTAAACATTAATTTCATTCTCAGATCCCTTTTGAGGTTGTTAACATACAGTACTGACAATTACATGGGAAGTTAACATAACCCCCATCCTCCCTAGGCACAGTGGACAGTAAAACCAAAAATGTCGCTACCTGGTAATTCAATAATCTATAACAGAACAGAAGTCTGTAGTTAATTGCATTGTGCTGGATGTCCATCCTGCCTTCTGATTCATCAAATTGAAGTAGTTTGGTATTTGAGAAAGAGTCAATACTGCGTCAACACGTCTGCAATATAAAAATAAAATAGGGAGGGGAAAACATATACAGGAGTTGCATGACATGAGAAAGCTATGCTTCTGGTCAGACATAAGGCCTTCTGTAAGTCATCAAAACCTGCTAAATATGTAGGGAGAAATAGCATCTGGTATGTGATTGCAAACATTATAATATTGCCAATATAATATTTGTTTTTGTTACAATCAGAGTGTTTTCTGAATGATTTGCAGTGGATTCACAAGTATATGTAATGGAAGATGTTCCCTTATCAGGATTCCTATAGATAACGTGCATGCCTTCACAGCCCAAAGTAGTTTCAGTGTAGAGCTCATATAAATTTCTGGATTAAAAGACAAAAGGAAACATCATTTTTGGTGGACAACACTTAGGTTTGTTCACGATGTGCAAAACTTGGCCACTTGTTAGCATAAAATCACTGGGATTTGTTGCATTGTCACATATAGGATGCAAATTTTTGGTGCCAGTTAATGCGGGGCTATTGCTACATCTAAATACCTCTTCACTTACTTATTTCTCCTTGCAAGAAACCCACGTGGGTCTAGGAAAGTGTAGATGTGATATATACATATTTTGCTTTCAAATTTGCAGTGCTTTCATTGTAGTCTCAGCTGAATTTGCACTGTTCTCATCAATTCTAGAAGAACATTAGAGTCATCATTGACTCCTGTGACTGCGGAATGGGTAGTCCATATTTTGAAAAGGCTGGCATGTTACCATTACAGCTCAGAATAGATGCTGATGAAATGGGTATCAGTGCCTTCTTTAAAGCCCATTAAATTAGATTGATCTTGATTCTTAGCTCCCCTGTGCTTTGCATAAATTAGAAGCAACTTCCCTAGCATTAAGTAGGCAGGTAGCATGATTGGTTTGGAATTAGAAGAAAAGCAAGCAGTATCTGAGACTACATCGCAGCTCAGATTCTTGAATCAGGTCTGTTATATAGACAATCTGGGACCTTTCTGTAGAAGAGGATTTGCATCGAGAAGAATGACAGTGAGGCTTCCTGGTTGATATACTACAACTTTCTGACAGCTGAATAACCTGTTGGATCAACTTGTTACTTTAGCTGGTATTTTTCATTTGGTAATGATCTCCATTGGAAACACAATATAATGGACAAGGAGGTCTGACTGTGTTTTTCATTTTAAAAAGTAATTTCTGTTTAAAATTAGACCGATCGACTTTTTGCTGTTTCTTTAAAATTAACCTTTTTCAAGGGAAAGTAATCAACTTGCATTGCATTGGTACATCACAAACAATGTACTTGAGATCTGAAATTTTTGTTTTTCCACTGTACCTCTGCAATGCTGGACAATACTGCAGTGAAACCTGGAAGTGAGGCCACGAAAGAAGTTTCTTGGACAATTTACCTATTACTATCTATGCTCTCTATTCTTGCTTTTTAAAGAAACCCATTGCACCCATTGGGGGAATGGCTCTGTTTGCCCAGTAGTCATTTCGAGAAGCTTTAGCACATCCTTATAATGAGGTCTTATATTCTTATATGTCCATGGCATGGAAGCAACAGTAAGATGTTAAAATTAAATAGTAATAGTTTGTTTATTTATTTATTCATATATATGCCATCTTCCTCTCTCTAGGAGACCCAAAGCGGCTCATGACAATTAAAACTATACAATAATCAACAGTTTAAAGATGTCAAAGATACTACATTAGAAAGCAATTAAATATTTATCAATATTAAAACCAATCTTTAAAAACAAATTTTAAAAACATTTTTAAAGCACTTGAAAAACGAATTACTGTACTTATGTCATATAGTTCAGGTTAATATTTTCTCTTTTTTATTTTATTTCTTTCCTTTAAGAATCCAAATGTGCAACTTTCATTATGTTGTTAAAGACAATATTTTTTCAAAGAAATCATATAAACCAGGAAAAATTAAAAAATACAGAAGACAAAAACATTGTGGCATCTTAAAAACCAACTGCTATATTTTAATGTGAGCTTTCATGGACATGTCCACTTCTTCTTTGTCTGAAAAAGTGATCTTGTCCATAAAAGCTCACATTAAAATATAGCAATTAATTTTTAAGGTGCCACAATGTCTTCTTCTTCTTCTTCTTCTTCTTCTTCTTCTTCTTCTTCTTCTTC